CCCGCCATGGCCAATGGGCCACTGCGGGCAGCCAGCACAGCCCCAGTCAGTGCACCACTGGTGATGGAGTTCCAGGGATCTTCCTTGCCCCGAAGCCGCACCAGACCACAGTCGATGGTGGAAAACAGGCCCCCCCACACAGCGAAGCTACCTCCAATCTGGGGGGCTCTGATCCTTACAGCATTGACACTGCCTCTCAATCGGTGCCGAATTCCGACAGGGGCATTGCGGAAGCCCTTAATGGCCTGGAAGACTCCACCGCCGATAACACCCATAGTGAAGGCTCCACCACAATCATCCACAATTCGCCATGGGCAAGGTTCCCGAGCATACTCCTCCATGGCCCCTTGCTGATTTTCAATTATGTCATGTGTACGCTCACCCTAGAGCCTTTGTTCTGGCTGTTCTCACTGCCTGCAAAGTTTTCCTTAGATATCTGCTTGGCTAACTTGTTCACTTCCTTCAAGTCTTTGCTCAAAGTCACCTTCTCTACAAGGCCTACCCAACTACCCTACTTAAAATGAGTATTCACATCCCCTCTGCCACGGACACTCCTGATCCCCTTATCCTACTTTGCTTTTTCTTTTTCTTTTGGCTGCACTGGCTCTTCATCGCAGCACACAGACTCTGTAGTTGTGGCACACAGGCTTGGCTGTTTCATGGCATGTGGGCTCTTAGTTGCCCCACCAGGGATCAAATACACGTCCCCTGCATTGGAAGGTGGATTCTTAACCTCTGGACCACCAGGAAAGTTCTGCTTTTTATTTGTCTATAGTGCCTTTCACCTTGTAACATACTACATAATTTACTTAGCCATTAAGTCTACTGTTTATTGACTACCCCCTCACTAGAACATAAACTTCACGAGGATAGGAATCTTTTGTTTGGTCACTAGTGTGTTCTAAGGACTCAGAAGAGTGCCTGGCACAATGTGGGTGCTTCACACAAATTTATTAATTAAATGAAGTCGTTAAAACTCATCTCAGATATCAGGTTCTTCACAAAGTATTTCCCAGCTGTGAACAAGCCCCACTTTCCCCCAAATTAATTCCCCCTCCTTTCGGCTACCTTTGTATCTTGAACCATTGTTGAATTTTCCAGATAATATTGTTGTTTGTATGTCTAGATTATGAGGGCAAAGTTTGGAACCCATCTGATATATTTCTACATTCTTATAGAATTATTATTCTTGTCGTCTCAGGGCCTGAAAATAGTATACATGTATTATTTTGATAAATAAACTAGTAAAGCCACACCAAGATCAAAAGTCTGGAAATGTTCTGTTAGTGACCGTGTGGGAAACAGGCCTGCCCACAGTGTTGACAGGAGTGTAAACTGAATGACTTAAGCTCCCTGCAGGACAAAGTGAAAAATATCTATCAAGTTAAACATTTACTTTCTGAAATTCTGCTTTTAAGAATGTATCTATCAGGGCTTCTCCTCTGGTGGTCTAGTGGTTAAGAATCCACCTGCCAATGCAGGGGACACGGGTTCGATCCCTGGTCTGGGAAGATCCCACATCCCAAAGGGCGATTAAGCCCCTGCACCACAACTACTGAAATCTGCACAGTGAGAAGCCTGCGCACCACAAAGAAGAGTAGCCTCTGCTCAACTGCAATCAGAGAAAGCTCATGCACAGCAGCGAAGACCCAGTGCAGCCATAAATAGATAAATAAATAAAATTTTAAAAAGAATGCATCTATCATATTTACTCATTCAAGTATTCCAAGATACAGAGATATTCACTGAGACATTGTTTATTTTATATATATATATATATATATATATATATATATATAAACTCAACTGTCCCACCAGTAGGGCCTTGT